AAACGTGTAATTTGCTTTGGGGCCAAGTTTCTGTGGCAGACTTCATCTTTTAACAGTAAACAGGAGTTCAAGGTTAGGCAAAAGGAAATGAACACTGAGAATATGTAGGAGGAAAGTCTGTATAAAATTCAATGGTTCTGGGCTCTTTACACAAATCTGTTGGTGCGTGCATTTCCTGCCCTGCCCTGATTTTACCTTTAATTGTTAATCCCTTAATCCCAGGTTGCTCGCTAGGGTAGAGTGTTAATAAGATACCTTCCTACATAAAGCTCTGTGTAGGAAACTCCAAGAGGCTGTGGTGCAGTTGGTTAACATATATTGTCCTGAGAAATGTCTGTTGAAGAATCTGCCCAGGGCCCTTGAAAGCAGACTTACTTCCTTGTTGTGTGTGGCTGTTATTCTAGGCGTGATCTCCACACACCTGGAAAACTCTTTTCCACCCAAAGATTTTGTTCCAGCAAAGGAAGAGAAATTTTATAATTTGCCAAATAATCCTATTTATCCTAATATATTTGTATTACATTACAGTTTATTATTATCCGCAGTTTAGTGGTAAATGTTCTGAGCTGTGTTTTTGTTCTGGGAGAGACAGGGTGAAGAAATGAGCTGATAGGAACCTCCTGAAGTTCAACAGGCGAAGGTCATAATTCTGCATGTGGGGAGAAACAACCCCCTGCACCAGTACATGCTGGGGGTCCCCCTGCTAGAAAGCAGCTTTGCAGAAAAGGACCTGAAGGCCCTGGTGACCACCAAGTTGAACGTGAGGCAGCAACATGCCCTTGGTGCAAAGGAAGTGAATGGTGGAGGGAGATGACCCTTCCCTTCTACCCAGCACTGCCACACCTGGAGTACTGTGTCCAGCTCTGGGCTACTCAGTACAAAAGAGACATGGACATACTGGGAAGTCCAATGAAGGGCCACAAAGATGACAAAAAGGACTGGAGCATCTCACATATAAGGAAAGGCTGAGAAAGCTGGGATGGTTTATCCTAGAGAAGAGAAGGCTGAGGGGAGATCCTGTTTAAGTATTCATAATGTATATATATATAAAAGGAGAGAACTAGGCAGCATGGTGCATAGCAGGGAAGAGCTGGTGAGAAACAAATTGATCCAAACATCCGAATTTTCACCTGAAAATGCTATATCAGGGAGTATTACAGGTAAGTTGGAAATCATTGTTATTGGGATTAATACTGCAGTGTCACATGTAAATAAGTGCTACAAACAACTGTGATATCACAGAGAAAATAGAAGCAAGATCTTGTTTCCAGAAAGAAAATTGCTGTTTCCCCTCCCAGGAAATTTATTTTCAAAAAATGGAAATTGTCCTTGCATCATCTGGTTGAAAGAAGTAGATTAGTGCAGTTTTGACCAACCCAGTTGCAGCGAAGCAGCCAGTTCCTCACACTGCCAGTCCCAGAATGCCTTCAGTTGCAATCCCACTGATGAGCTCTTCAAACATGGCCTCTCAGTCTCATCCCAAGGAGATGCTCAGGAAATGTAAAATAAATATTAGATTGCCTCAAAAATTAACTGTTCTTTGAAGGAAAAGGATTTTCAGCTGCAGATTTTACTGGTAATTATTTGCATAGCTCCCCTCTGTTGGTTCAAGTTTTCGCAATACTAAAAGGATCTGAAGAAAGTCTATTCATTTTTTTTTTCATATCTATTCAAATATTTTTGACAGAACTTTTATTTTCTGTCTAGAGCATGTTGATGTAGTCAGTTGATATATACTTATTTTCTTGGAAGTACATTCTTCTTGGGTGAACAGTGTAAGCAGTGATGAATAAATACTAGAGGAGCATGGCTGGCAGCAGTCCTGCTTTAAGTGAAAGGATAGACTAGGTTAGTTACAGAGCTCCCTTGCAACCAGCACTTCTGTGATCCTATCAAGGAATGCAGTAGGATTCCTTGTTCAGGTACAGGATACTTAATGGTGTTTTTGCACAACTGGGGCACCCGTCCCCTTGAGCTGTGCTAAATGCCAGAACTTAAGATTCACTGAGGGAAATCCAGGAAATATCTCTGAAACACAGTCTCCTCATGGATAGTCCAAAACCTTGCAGTTTTTTTGGGGACCTCAGAGGAAACCCTTCAAAATCTCATTAAAAAACCCTACAAAACCCCTTGGCCTTCTCAGTTGTCTCACAACAGATGGAAATGTCAGGAAAGAGAGAGAGAAACCTCATTGTCACTGCCTTCTCCATGCCACCACCTACAAACTGAATCACATGGGCCATGCAGAGACACTTTAAATGAGGCTGCTGAGCCCAAAGTTGCTACTGGGAGTGGAACGGAGGCCAAGCAGCTTGAGGGCAGACTATAAAAGTCAGTTTGTTATCTGTGCATGTTCATTGGTACTTACTGGAATTATAAAGCTTTAAAATGTTGCCTCCCCCCTCCTCCTCTGCCCCCCCAGCTCATTTGATTGAAAACATTTCTCTTCAGTTTTTGGCTACACAGCACATTTCTGACCAAAGTCCTGAGGAAGGGGAGCTGGCACATGAGCGGCGTGCGGGGCAGCCCTCGCTTCCTCTGCTGCCTGCACTTGTGCACCACTTTCTTCTAAGGTTTCTGTTCCATCGGCCAGGTTCCCAACCTCTTTGAACCTAGGTAAACAGTCATCTTCAGAAAAGTTTTGACCACCTCATGTAAAAATATTCTTCTCTGCGGATGAGGCAGATCTTCCTGGGTTAAATTTATTTTGGACAGGCAGACCAATCTTTAGGCACCCGATGGAGAAAGCAAAGCACAAGCCTGGACTGTCTTTTGTGCAGTCCCCAAGGAAACTGGATGTGCACTGCTACCCTCTCCTTTCCCAGACAGGTCACTGCAGGGCAGAATGAGGTCTGAAACGAAGGTTTGTTATCTCATTGCCTTTGTGTTTCTTAACTCCAAAGTTCCTGAGCTTGTCAAACTTCTAATAATTCGAGTAAGAGAGAGGAAGGAGAGACAGATGATGATTTTATCCTGCACCCTGTATACCTGGAACAAGAACAAGAACCAGTACAGGCAAAGCAAGACCCAGGCCACGTCTGCTCTGTTATGTGAGGGTAGCTGCTGCTCTGTGCAACTGGTTAATATGTTACGTGCTGTTAAAGGGTTGAACTTTTGGCAGCCTTCCACCATGTCACTGCCCCTGTTGCTGTCAGGGTGAAGGCCAGATGATCTCAGATGACCTGATTGTCCAGGTGCTCTTTTCCTGGCATTAGTACTAGTGGGCCAGGAATGGAGAGCATGAGAGCAGGGTGGGGTGGAGGGGGAAAGTGTTCCGAGTTTGCATTCCCTGTTTTAGCGGATTCTGCAGTAATGGGGGGGTTAGGCACACCCACGCTTCTTTCCCAAATCCTGGCTCAACCTCCACTTCCACTTGGAAGGAAATCAAAGTGCTCCCACCCCTCCTGCAGCCTCTATGGCCAGCTCCATGCGGGGAGCCCTGCCAGGAGTGAGGGCCTTCCCTTTACCTCTCTCTGTTCAGCGCTCACCTTTCCTCCT